AGCAAAGGTGAGCTTGGTGGGTTTTGTAGCAACATGCTGCCATCAGTGATGCCTCTGGCTTTAATCAGCTGGCTAAAGGCATGTATGCTTTCAGCAGCCTGAGCACACCCTCAGTTGACTGTCATTTCATCTGTAAATAGGGGAGTTTATATGAGTTGAGTCATCCTTCCTTGGATGAATTGATCCTTGGCAAGTGTATACCAATGAACATGGTATTTGGATCAGATCTGCCCCAGATCCTTCTGTCGCAAATCCTGACTTGTTCCCATTTTGCTGTACCTTTGGGATACTGAGAATGGTGCAGAACACCACAGGGACAAATGGCTGATTTTGGTATCAATGGCCACAGCCTCCTCATGGCACGAAGCACTTTGTAGGGAGCTTGTAGTTGCATTTAATGAAACCATCTTGAGACGAAGACCTCAACTTCACATTCTCACACGTGTTACATCCTGTTCTATGGACCTTCTACCCTATTAGTCATGGTCAACCACAGTGCTTGGTATTTCACATGGTAAATGCTGAAGGCTGATTGTTTCTTTGGAGTTTGGGTCTCTTCCTACTTAGCAATTCCTGGAAATTTTTGACAACAAAGTTTAAAGCTTTTTAGTGGTTGGAAGTTGCCCTGTACACATGCAAAATAAAACAGAACGAGGCTTGCAAAGGGACAAGGTAATTACCTGAAGGGTGAACACTTGAGTCATTTGTCATTGAAATATGATTTTTGAAATTTGTATTTCCTCACTATATGTTAGCCTGATTACTAATAAAATCAGGAAATAAATTGCTTAAGGGAGATCAGAATGAAGTCCAGAATGCTAGGAAGTAGTAAGTTCTTTGTACTAGGTAATCAAAGGCATCTTACTGCTTCAAAACCTGACACTGAAGAGTGAAGAATGCTGCCCCATATTATCTGTGTTTAGTCATATGTACAGTGCAGTTAGATTCTCTGCAATACAGAACAGATTCTTGTGTTAACTTGTGTGTATGTCAGAGCTCAGTTAAGCAACCTTGGACGCTTCTGGTTTTGCATCTCTTCTTTTTCTTATTACTGAAAAAATGAAAATGGAGAAGGAAGGAAAAAAAACCCTTTTTTTTTTTTTTTTTTTTTTCTTTCTTCTCCCCTCCCACCCCCCCCGTGAAAAGTTAAATGGAACATTTTAGCAAATGTTACTCACATTTTACCAAGACTTGTACAAAAGTCATGTATTTGAGCAGGCCCACCTCTACCCTATGCGGGGTAATTCACTATGTGTTGAAGCTGCAAATACCACTTCTTAAAAATAGCCTTTTTTCTTTTTTTTTTTTCTATAGAGACATGTATCGCTATTCCTTTATTTAGTCTTTTTTCAATGTGCTGCCTAGTTTTCTAGAGATCCAGTCTCCAATTAATCAGTGGGTGATGATTCCCAAAACAAGTGCCTCCTGTAGGTATTTAAAATGGAATGAAAAGAAAGCACTCATTCAACACTTAGTCTCAATTACTATTTTTTTGGTACTTCCATTTCTAACTAATTTTATGAACATTAGAACAAACTTGAAATATATAGCATATACAGTGAATATTTATAGTTCCCTTTTCCTAAATCATGCATTATGCAAAACATTTAAAGATTCCTGTAATACTGCAGTAAAAAGAATGAAGGTGCTTTCAAAGATTTATGCATCTGCCTATTTTAAAATTATAAATAACAAATTCAGTCTCAATCTTTGTGGAATTTGGGTCTCAATTTAATGAAGATTTTAGGGGGCAAATTGTGGTTTAATTTTCAGGAAGCCCTATTGTTGTACCATTTATATTTATTTCACTACTTGCATGAAAATGTCTAAGGAGAACTGAGTGATCACATAATTTGTTGTCCAGGGCTAAAAGGAAATGTTTGGTTTTAATACTGCATGTATGAGTGTTTGAATATCTTCCATGAACCAAATGAGAACTTTGCACTGAGTACTCAACTTTAAATGCTGTTGTACAAAAGGGATCAAAAGCGGAAAAAGGCCATGGTGGGCAACCTGCTCCGAAGACAGCGCCTGAATCCCAAACTAAAGGAGCCAAGAAAAAGAAGGCAGAGTCTCCCAAACTAGGACACAGTACATTTAGTAAACTCTTTAGGCATAAGGTCTGTATGAAACTCTAGCAAGAACAGAACCCTGAGCAGTAACAGATGGCTCCCATCACAGAGTGAAGTTATTTAATTGGTAACTGAATTCAGCATCTGGCCAGCTGTGCAGTGCTCTGAAAATCACTGGCATGAGCATTTCTGTGCCATGCATTATGAAAGCAATCTTCATGTGCAGCATTTCTCTTTATACCATCTGTGAATTCAGGATTCTGAAATGATTCCTCTAACCTTCTCCACTAACCTGCTTCCCAGTTACAGTTGCTAATGCTAACTAAACTTCCCTGGCCATTTAAACAAAACAAAAGGTACTGACAAACAATGAATTATATAGTTATGAACAGTGCCTGCAAGTGTAGGACAGGTTTAAGAGTTCAGTCTAACTACAATTAAGGCTTTATGGTCCACATTGCCTGGTGATTGGGTGAACTGGGGCATCTGATACGGCACAGAGAAGATTGGAACATGGAATTTCCTTCAGAAACAGTTACTTTTCACTGAAAACAAGTAATTGTTGGTTGAATTTTAAGTTTAGTTTGGAGGAAAAAAATGAGAATGCTTTAAAGCTGTTCAAAATGCTTTTTGTGCAAGTGGTTGTTTCAGAGGACATTGGCATTTATTTTTAAAAAGAAATCACTGAAAACTTGTGGTTTCAAGGTCCATATTTGAGCATTCCAAAAAAACGTGCTCGGAAGATAATCTGCCATGATATTCTATGTCAGGGAAGCAGAGAACTGTAGCTTTCTAGCCCAAAGAATGCAGAAGCAGAGACCCTTCCACTGGGGGAGGAAAGTAATTAATATTTAATGTTCACTCAGCACACCCACATGGAATTTCTGGTGAGTAGGGGGCTTTATAATCAAGAGCACAAGTCAAAGGGAGTTCTTTAAGTTATTTTCAAAACAAAAATGTTCTTTCCACTGTTTCATTTTTGAGATGTCGTCCGCATATTACTGAAGGAATAATTATCTTGCCAATGGCTTTAAATCTAGAGTCCTTGCTAACAGCTTAAAGTTAAGATCTCATCTTGCACATACTACATTGACGGTTTTGATAATACAATTAAAACATGAATGATTTGTTCATGATGAATTGGGGCTTCCTGGTAAAAACTATACATGGTTAAAATTTGTCAAGGTGCCAAGCCTCCTCTACAACAGTGAAAAATCTTGCAATGAGTTGTTGGGAGATACTGGTTTTCATTAGGCTATTTGATAGAATCTTAAAGACTTCTGGTCTGGAATGAAGGCCGTTATCTTGAAGGAATGTGGCAGCACTAAATTTTCACAACAATAAAATCTGTCTCATAAAATGTCATCACTTCCAAAATAGTTTTCTTGTTTCAAAGCTTATTTTCACAGCTTTCCTTCCACATACAAAATACAGAAGCAATAACTGAGGTATCATTTATGACATTTTAAGAACAAAGGAGACGGATTAAAATGGTGCCAACAGTTGGCTTGTAGGGCTGACTGAAAGTGGAAATTCAAATCAGAGCATTGATGTAACAGGCCAGCCCTGAAGTTATCACCTCTAGTAAAAGTGAAAGAAAAAGTAGTTTATATCTTTTCTTTTGAAATGCCTCAGCATCATGTGTCAACTGGATGAATAGGTAATGAATTCCTTTATTTAAAGTTATCACTTTAATATATGCATTCCTATTTAATTTTAAGCACTTCACTGTCTCCTCTGAAAATTCTTTCTCTGCAAGTCTTCCAAAATGCACTTCTCTGTACCTTAGTTAAGAACAGACTGACTATTAGGTTAACAAAAACATTGTTTTTCAGTGTCTTGTGTTTACATGAGTACTAACTTTAAAGTAGGTTGTGAACATTCATTTCAAACAGCAATGTGCATCCTAATATAAACCATAACATAAGCTGCTAGAATGTGATTTGGCCATTTGACCTCAAAGACGAAGTTTGGATGGCATTTGACAGTTGAGTCCCTGTCTGTTTTTACTCCCATCCATGTATATTTGCTTTGCACTGCATGCCAGTTTTGCAGTGTAACTGTACTGATTTATGGAAGTTTTACTTGGAAGAGAAGGGTTAACTACTTATTTTCAGCATTAGTACTGAAGGCTTGTGGCATTACTATTTCACTATTACTTACCACTTGCTTTGTGCCTTGTTTAATAAAGCTAAACACAAAAAGAAGTTCTTGGCTCCTGCAAAGTAACTCTCACCTATTCTTTCAAGAGATCCACATAGGATGTGGCAAGCTGCCTAAACCCAGGGGTGCAGGGCTCCCATTTACCTGAGTGAGGCTGTGGCTTGCTGCTCCTCTTTATACAGCTTAGATACTAGTCTTGAGTGTGAGCTGTGCTGGATGCTAGGGTCAATAGACACTGGTATGAATCACTGGCCAATGAGGAGTTTAAACAAACTGGATTCCTCCTGGCTTTGTGTATTCTAATGGAATCAGGAGACCCATCACTGTGAATGATTTCTTTTTCACAAAAGTGTGAGTGGATGGACAAAACCCTCCTCCAGCATCTGCAGAGCTGCTCTTTTTAGAGCTGCAACTCCTAAGTTATAAAGCCACTGCTGTTCTATGCCCTTCGTTTCCAGGCAGCCATCTGCCTATGTTTTGTATCCCAGAAAGCAAGGCTTCCCATGTCAGAGGTGACGTTAGCACGTCCCTGACTGGTATGCAATTCCCCAGCGGAAAAGACCCAGCTCTGGTTTGTACGTGTGTGCTGGAAGTTGCAGATGCAGACCCAGCTCAGAAATCTTTCAGTATCTTAAAACCCTGCACAATGTCTCATGTGAAGAAGCTGGGAATGGAGATGTAAACACACATATTTGTAAAGAACAAATTGAGGGCTGCAAGCATGGCGGTATGAGCACAAAGCAATTCAACACAGGGCTGCAATGCTGCTGCAGGTAGAAGGATGTGAGCTGGCAGCCTCACTTGTGCCAGAGATCAGTTTCCATGGTTGCAGGAGCCAGGACTTTCACAAACATTCACTAAAAATAAAATAATCTGTGACAGACAATTCCTGAACTGTGTAACTGTGAGCACTGACACTGCTGGAGACAGACTTGTCTTTGTGTTTTGTTTCCCTTCAGGCTGCAAAAGAGACCCAACAGACAACTAATACCAAAGTGAGTAGGATGATTCAAGTTATCTGTATGAATAATGCAATCAAAGAGGAATTATTCTCACTGTCATTTTCAGTCTCAAAGGCAGTGTTTTAATTTCTTTATCAATTGATCATTTCAGTTACAAAGGGTGGGTTGCTATGTAATCTGCTTCCTCTGTTCAAGACACTCATTTGAAAGGACAGGGACGCAGCTCAGGAGCTGCACCTTGTTGCCTCGTGTGTCCTGTGCAGTGGTGGTCTGCTGCATGCTTGTCTCTTGTACCAGATGATGCCTGAATTTGCTGGAGTATCTTGTTCCTTACATGCTTCCAACAGCCTTTGTGTTCATGATTCCTTCTAGAGCACTGAACAGCAGCCTGTTACCTCTGTAAAATCAGACAAAAATGTCCCTTCCTCTCAAGAGCCACAGGCAACTAAGCAGAGTACAAAAGCCCCCGAGCCTGCAGCCCAACAGCAGGCAGTGGCTAGCGATGCCCCCAAAGAGGTGACGAAGGAGAGATCATCATCTGCTCCCATGCCGCTGAGCAAGCTCTTTTGGAAAAAGGTATGTCTGGATTTCAGACGTGGTCCATCCCACAGCTTCATCTTCACATAGCATCTAGTGTTATTAAGTCAATATAGTAAAGCTGTCAAATCTGCAAAGTTCAGCATATCCCGTATGCTACATGCAAGAGGGGTATATACAATACATGCATGCACAAATGTGAGTTTTGGGCAGTCACATATGCACATGGCTAGTAATAGAGTTAGACTCCTGCAGAAGAATCTTGTAAAGAAGTCTTTTAAACCTGTCAGTGGTATTTTTTTAAACGATACTATGGAAGC